GAAGTCATAGAGTAGTGTATGTAGAGCATACTCAATCCCGTGGAGATGACGGGGTTCGATGTGTCCTTCCAGTGTCTGCCCCTTGAAAGGGTCGCTGACCAAACGCACAAATGCATATGTGGGATTTCTTTCTCAACTTCCAAAAGCCGGTTCTCGTTGAAAGGCGAATCTTTCCCTTGCGAAAATCCAGCTGATATTAGGCATGTGCCTGGTAATGTTTAACATATGTCCGTCCCTGTCTCTCTCGAATATGTGTTGCATGTATAGCACAAACATTTGCCGGGGGGGAAGCATTTGCTGGAAATCGATTAAATATTTGTTACTTTGGCTGGTGCAAACAGCAGCAAACACCATCTAGCTTTTTTGCTGGACATGGTTGGGATACATGCTTGGTAACTGCTCAACGTTTTCTTATGCCAAACTTTGGCCAACTGCTTCTGGCAAGTACCCCAGCATATGTTTCGAGTGTGTCTAGCATACTTATGCTGTACCTAGGGCATATTCCTAGCACTGTCATGTTCCTACTTTTCTAACGTAGGTCCAGTACGCCTACTTCTAGTAGTGTCGGGCAGGTTCATAGTTCATGACCAATATTTGTCTTGCGTGTCTCATACTGCTCCCTCACAGCGGCACAAACAAACATGTAGATTTTAAACAAGCGAGAGAGCGTGCTCTCCCATAGTCAAGCTCTCACGAGGACGATTTGATGAATTTTGGGTTCAGTCCACCAACCGCTGTAGTTTGTCCAAAAAAAACTACCGTGATTTGATGGACATGCGACTGGGTCCTGACGTTGGTTCTTTTGAATGGGACTTGCCGTGACTGTGGGAACTCCTGCTATTTGCTGACTTGTTTGTCAGCGGACAGCAAGGCCTCTCCTGGATCGATTCTCCCGGGCCAGGCAGATTTCCAGGATAGTTCCACAAAGAACGCCATTCTGGAGATGACTTGCCCAAAGCATGGGAACTTGCGATTTGTGTCGAGGTGTTACAGCAGAGAACTAAACTGCATAAATCACCCTTTGATGCGATTGGATTTTTGTGCATGAACCTGAATCATTTGAAGTGACCAGGTCACTGAACTGTGTTGTCCAATCATTTGAGAAGCGGGCCGATCTGGGGTCCACCGTTTTGCTGCATGGAAGATGTCCTTCCTTGGCCGACTGCTTTGTCCAGGCAGAGTGCACGGTCTACGAGATCGACGACCTGCCCGCCGAGTCGAAGAAGACTCTCCAGGCGCCTCCCGGCTTGGTTTGGCTGAGAGTGGACTGGAAGCAACTTGTTGGTTTCTCATGTTCGCTCCGTGTTTAAGGAGGGTTTTGTTGTTTTCCATCTTTGCTCTTTGTTTAGAGGCTTTGAGAAGGTTATGAAGAGGGTCCCAGAAGTCAAACAAGCTGGTCTTGTGTTGGTCTTTCGGATACCAGGTTTTGTCACAAAGCACCAGCAGGCAAAGCTTGCATGTGGATGTCGCCATGTCATGTTTATGTTCAGCGGGCGCACTCTTAAAAATGGGTGGTGCACAGAAGTTCTCATGAAAATGATGCCCACCAGGTCCCCAGTTAGAATTCATGCCCAGCTGCACTATAACTTTAGCAATCTCAGCTCACCGCGGGTCCCATACAGAGTTCTGCGTTATTCGTGTGTGCGTGAAGGCGTGAAAGCAGGCGGGCGTGCCCGAGAGACTCTCAGGAACGAAGTGATTTCATGCCCTTCAAAATAAGATCAGCCTCTAGAACTAACGCAGGTAATAGCACCCGCAAATGCGACAAGCTCGAATGATAGCACGCAGAAGAGATGATGTCTGTCGCACGGTTGAAGCTTAAGTCATTCGATGACCTTGAAAGCGTTTCAGCCATTCTGTTTCGGCCTTTCAGCCCGCCGGTGCTATTGCTTCCAGCCTTTGTGTCGTTCCTCCATCGTTTTCACATCTCCCTCCATCCAACCCGCCTAATCTTTCTTGCGACCTGAAGCATGCCAGCCTTTGGATGCTGCCCCGCGGATTGGGTCCTCCCAACTGGGGTCGCTCCGTCATGGGTGTGCCAGTTGCGCAGGTGCTTTGGGAAAACGAATGGGTTTTGTCGTTTGCGCTTTGTAGACGACCCTTCCATTTGGAGATGCCCAGTGGTCCCATGTTCGAGCCCTGAGCCGTTTTTGGCCCGAAATCAAAACTTCAGGGCCACTTTTCCCCTTAAACATCACTCCGCCAAAGAGCTCACCTCAGACACCAAGCTCTCGCCGGCTCGGCCGAAACCGAAAACGAATCGAGTCTCCGTCAGGCGCACATGAAGGCGCTCACGGGCGCCGGGTCCGTGCCGCGGATCTTTGTGCAGGGCGCCTGCGAGGGCGGCTTCTCGGAGGCGGTTGGGGGGGGCGGTGTTGTGGGGAGGTTGAGGGCTTGGGGGCTGTTTGCTGAACAAGTTGGCGTTGGTTGCCAAAGCGAATGGATTTGCCTTTTCTCTTGGGTTGCCCTTTTGGGTAGTCAACCCAGGTCTTTTAAAATGGACGGTGTTGGAAGGAAGCTTGCGCGGCAATAATGTTAGAACGCTGGGAGACACATTTGGGTTACTTTGTTTTTTCTTGTTCTGACTAATCTATGATGCCAGTTGGACCTTTCTGAGGCGGCAGCTTGGATTACTTGTTTGCGCCGCGACTTCAAACCGCATGGATCATGGAAAGCTTTCACCCCAAATGGGAAGCAAGCCGTACCCAATTATTGATCTGTGGTTGTTTATTCCACTGCATCAAATTCTCACGGCCACCAGGAGACTGTTGCCGGGCTTGACCAGCCATTACGGGAGCCCTCCTTTTCGGGAAACATCAAAGAATGACCCTTGAAGTGTCGAGAAGCATGGTTGGTTTCCGAGTCATTTCATTGCGCTTAGTTTCGGAATTTCATTTTCATTGGTTGCCGACTTTGCGACGTTGGGCCTGCGTCTTTGTTTCCCCGGATCAAGTGGGCCAGAAACTTGCAGAGGCAATTTGACGGCATCGCCTCGCTCGGGGCCGTCGGCTTCAGGTGCAACGGAAGTTGTGGGCCGGAGAGTTGGTGCCCAAGCTGCTGGCGGCCGGTGCGCTCAAGGATGGGCCTCTCAACACGGGCTGGTTCAAACATGAGGTGTTTGAACATCCAAGCGGGAACCCTGACAGCCGTGCCCCTTCCATCTTCCAACGGAAACAAACTGGGCATTAACTGCAAGAAAAGGGCAACCCCGGCTGCTGTGTCTTGGACTGGAACAGGGCTCCCTAAATGTCCTTGGTGGTGGTCTGAACAGCCCAAAAGGTGTGGTTTTCTCTTGGTGGTTGATGTTGGAAGAGAAAATATAGGGAACCCCGTGGTAGATCTTTCGTGTGCCTCAAGTGGTCCAGATCCCAAGATTCAATCTAGACGGAGCGCGTCAAAACACACGGAATCCGCATTTGGTGACTGGAAGGAAGCACAACGTGGCGACTGCTTCTTGCATGGTTCCCAGTTCTGATACAATAGGACGTGCAATCCCCTGGGGTGAGTCGCACCCCCAAACTGACATGGTTGTGTGGCTCGCTCCCCAGCAATCAACAATTCATTGATTTTGGGTTCAACTGATCAGTCTTCGGAGTCTACTTTTGTCAGAGTCAGTTCGGGCACTATTGGTTTCCTTGCTGAGTTTTGTCCGGCGCTGAAGATGACCAAGCGAGCAAAAATGTGCTCAATCCACCGTCAAAATGCCGGCAAAATGATCTGAGGTTGGCTTACTCCTTCTTTGAGTTTGGTATTCTCCAAATGACTCTGGAAGCTCGGAGCAGATTCGACCAGGTTGTGTCAGGTTCGTTAAGTTGTTCCAGTCACTTGTTGCCCTTAAAGACCTGCAAAGGGGAGATGCAATTTGACCAAGCCAAGAAGCACAACTAAGTTTCAAGCACCCGGCGGATAAGATTGCGGCCCAGAAAAAGGAACAGGCCACTATCAATTAAACTTGCACTGCACTTATTGCCATTGCCAAAGGGCAGGGTTAAAAACGTTCAGGGCTTTCGTGCGCTGATTCTGCGCCACGTGTTTACAGCACAATCACCTCAAGGGCCTTCTGCATATAATTCATCACGTGAGCTTCAGAAAGGGGACGCCTTTTTGTTGACCCTTCTGCTCAAGAAGGAAAGTCAGAAGAGGTCTGTTCGTTTGAAGAGCCCTCTCAGATTCGCCCTTTGAGGAGGACTCACCTGCTGTTAAAGGTGCAATGTCCTTCGAGGCCGGCAGCTAGCGGTTGGGGTCGGGTGGTGCTCCAGAGCAAGGCCGTTGACTTGCGGAGATAATCTTTGCATCGCCTTAATCCTGTGAACGCATTGTAACATGCCACGCACGCTTCAAGACCAAAGGGGGCGTTGGTGCCTGCGAATCTTTGAAGGGCCCACCAACTTTCGAACTTTCAGTCTTGTGACATTGTTTCGGAAAACTGACGTGGAACCCTCGAGGAGTGGTTGAGCCCGAGATGCAGGCCAATCCGATGCTCTGAGACGCGCGCGAGCACTTCCGGCTTCCGGTTGCCACTGTGGCAGATAACCCGGATGTTCATTTCTAGGTTTTACAACATGCCTTCCTCTGGCAACCGCTGGAAGCACTCGTGGAAATCAGGATTGTGAGTTCCAGCCTTTCGGGCCAGATGCAGACAGGCGCATTCTTCCGGCAGCTGCATAGCTGGTGCACCGTCTGCGTTTGCAAATGGAGCCTTGCGGAGAGGAAAAATGGATGAGGCCACTTGCTGCATGAGAGAATTCTTCCTGAAAAGCCCGCAACAAAAGATGAAGCACGGCTGAATGTCAGCATGAGAACCCTTCCTTCCCGCAAATACGGACTTGCGCAGTCTCCTGTCCAAAAGAAACTTAGTCTTCAAGGGCCGAAAGTGTGCCAAATCTGCCAAAATACCCGAAAGTGCACAAAACCGGTTGGTGAAAGAGAAATCCGCTGAGAAGGCATGAGAACGGAAAGAGAAATCCGCTGCTGCCCCTCCGGATTCGCCACGAAGCCAGGTACGAAGCGGCACTGGAGCTCTGCCCCCAGCACAAGGACAGGGCGAAGCTGGATCGGCAAGGCGAAGCTCGCATGTCTCAGCTGGCCGTGTTGCCAAAAAATGCGAACTTCTCACTCTAGGGCCGTCGGGACACATTCCGATCACCTTTTCCAACCAGGAGGGCCTGGTGGGCCGTGGGGCAGCCCTTGCCAACCTGGGCCGTGCACGGGAGGAGCGGGGGCGTAGCTTTGTCCTTCGATTCTTTGGCTCAGTATGCGTCAAAGGTTTTTTTCAAGGCCTTGTTTCAATGAAGGCCCTGGAGGGCTGGTTCCACTTGAGTCAATTGAGACTGACCGGTTCTCCCCAACTGGGCAAAATATACGCAAGTTCGGGTTCTGAAGGGTTCTTGGGGATTTTTCGTTTCAGGCTGTGAATGGCAGTCAGTTTGCTCAGTTAAGTCTAACCAGCAAATGTGCTGAATCATGTTTGTTCAGTCAGGAACATGAATTTGGTTGAGGTTCCTTTTTGGCTTGCGTAGGCAGGCCAGAGAGAGCCCACCACACTTTGGAATGACGGAGGTCGCATAGTTTTGTTCACTTGGAGACGGGATGAGCAAATGAAGGGTTGCCATGCACAAATAATTTGTGTGTTCTTACGGTTGTGTGTTTTATGAAGTTAAAGGGAGGAGCGGGGGCCCTAAACTGGAGACCCTTCCTCCCCACTGCCGTCGACTCCATGTCAACAGATTGTCACCGTGAATCTGTAAAACTCCACGTTTCCGGTGAGCAACTCGCCACAGAGACACGTGTTGTTTGAGTGGGTCAGCCCAGCGAGTCCTTGAGACAGTTTTGCATCAACTGCAAATCTCAAACAGCTATGAGGCTTAATGGGGAGCACCCTCATGGGATCTGGGTTGGCGGACATGACCTACGCAACTAACTAAACATCACACCAAGTCTGACAAGATCTAAGTTTACTGCAGTAGACGAGATGACATTGGGTACGCGGTCCAACTGTGGGGGATTTCTCATCACATCACAACATGTTGAGCGTCGTAATAATTTTGATGCAAACAAGTCGCGGGCTTGTCAGAGGTCGCATCCTGCGCCAAGTCAATGGAAATTTGGACGGTCTAGCAAGCCAGGCATTGAGGGACTTCGATGCCGCGCCGGAAGCTGAAGTTTCTGAATTTGCCGGGGTTCAAGGAATCAAAGCACCTTCAGAAGGCACTGGGACCCGTGCGGTGGGAAATATTGTTTCTGCTTAATGATGGCAGAGTTGAGGTCCACAACAAACTGAGAAGACTTTGCGAAACGATAAGGTGACAAGGCAAGGCATTACTGGGCTTTGTGGAGAAAAATCATGAGCCGCCGCCCAACTGCTGAATCAGAGAGTCAGCTGAAACTCCGTTTTGACCATTCTTAATGCTCAGCAACAAACTGAGAAGACTTTGAGAAACAAGAAGGTGACAAGGCAAGGCATTACCTGGTTTTGTGAACAATAACAGATGCCCAACTGCTGAATCAGAGAATCCGCTGAAACTCCTTTTTGACCATTCTGAATGCTCAGCAACAAATTGAGAAGACTTGGAGAAACGAGGAGGTGACAAGGCAAGGCATTGCCTGGTTTTGAGGACAAAAAAGATGACCGATCAGAACTGGTAAGGGCTCCACGCGACAATCACCGCCGCCCAACTGCTGAATCACAGAATCAGTTGAAACTCCTTTTGACAATGCTCAATGCTCAGCAAGAAATTGAGAAGACAAGGCATCACCTGGCTTCGTGGCCAAAAAGGATGATTGATCGGAACTGGTAAGGGCTCCACGCGACAATCACCGCCGCCCAACTGCTGAATCAGAGAATCAGTTCAAACTCCTTTTGACCAGTCTTAATGCTCAGCAACAAATTGAGAAGACTTTGAGAAACGCGAAGGTGACAAGACAAGGCATTACCTGGTTTGGTGGACAAAAAATATGACTGATCAGAACTGGTAAGGGCTCCACGCGACAATCACCGTCGCCCAACTGCTGAATCAGAGAATCAGTTCAAACTCCTTTTGACAATTCTTAATGCTCAGCAAGAAATTGAGAAGACTTTGAGAAACGAGAAGGTGACAAGGCAAGGCATTACCTGGTTTTGTGGACCAAAAAGATGACTGATCGGAACTGGTAAGGGCTCCACGCGACAATCACCGCCGCCCAACTGCTGAATCAGAGAGTCAGTTGAAGACCATTCTTAATGCTCAGCAACAAATGATCGGAACTGGCAAGGGCTCCACAAAATCACCGCCGCCAAACTGCTGAATCAGAGAGTCAGTCGAAGACCGTTCTTAATGCTCAGCAACAAATTCAGAAGACTTAGAGACACGAGAAGGTGACAAGGCAAGGCATTACCTGGTTTGGCGGGCCAAAAAAATGACTGATCGGAACTGGTAAGGGCTCCACAAAATCACCGCCGCCCAACTGCTGAATCAGAGAATCAGTTGAAACTCCTTTTGACCATTCTGAATGCTCAGCAACAAACTGAAAAGACACTGAGAAACGAGGAGGTGACAAGGCAAGGCATGACTGATCAGAACTGGTAAGGGCTCCACGCGACAAGCACCGCCGCCCAACTGAGAATCAGTTGAAACTCCTTTTGACCATTCTTAATCCTCAGCAGCAAATTGAGAAAACTTTGAGAAACGAGAAGGTGACAAGGCAAGGCATTACCTGGTTTTGTGGACAAAAAAAATGACTGATCAGAACTGGTAACGGCTCCACAAAATCACCGCCGGCCAACTGCTGAATCAGAGAATCAGTTGAAGACCATTCTTAATGCTCAGCAACAAATTCAGAAGACTTTGAGAAACGAGAAGGTGACAAGGCAAGGCATTACCTGGTTTTGTAGACAAAAACAGATGGCTAATCAGAACTGGTAAGGGCTCCACGCGACAATCACCGCCGCCCAACTGCTGAATCAGAGAATCAGTTCAAACTCCTTTTGACCATTCTTAATGCTCAGCAACAAATTGAGAACACTTTGAGAAACGAGAAGGTGACAAGGCAAGGCATTACCTGGTTTTGTAAACAAAAACAGATGGCTAATCAGAACTGGTAAGGGCTCCACGCGACAATCACCGCCGCCCAACTGCTGAATCAGAGAATCAGTTCAAACTCCTTTTGACCATTCTTAATGCTCAGCAACAAATTGAGAACACTTTGAGAAACGAGAAGGTGACAAGGCAAGGCATTACCTGGTTGTGTAAACAAAAACAGATGGCCAATCAGAACTGGTAAGGGCTCCACGCGACAATCACCGCCGCCCAACTGCTGAATCAGAGAATCAGTTCAAACTCCTTTTGACCATTCTTAATGCTCAGCAACAAATTGAGAACACTTTGAGAAACGAGAAGGTGACAAGGCAAGGTTTTGAGCACAAAAACCTGATAGAAGCCACGAACCCGAATGCGGACACGTGAGCGCCTTTTGCTTTCAAGAGCGCCGCGCAGCTGGGACACTTATTTTGCCACCACACGGGAAGCATACAGTCTGCAGCTCGCGCGATGATGGCTGCGCGCTCCTCGAAAGAGTGCGCGAGATGTGTGGTCAGTCACAGTCTCAGTGCCTGGCGCAACAGTTCGCAGTCGGATCCTGGCAGGTAAAAAGCAAAGCAAGATCGCCCGTATCTTCAAAGCGAAGCTTGCATCCTAGGTGGCTAACGCAAGTGCGAGTTTAGGTCTGCGTTTTTATTTTTTGCGGGTCTTTCGCTCGCCTGGCGCCGCGGGGTCAGAGCCTCCTGCAGCAGCTACTCGTCGAAAAACACTCGCTGGCCGATCATTGCAAACTTTGTCGGCCAACGGACAAAAAGCCTGCGGCCTCTAGCCGACGGTGGCTCGTCAAAGTTGCCCAAAAACTTTAGCGCGCCTCAGGAGACAGTGACCGCAAGCCAGATCCGCAGGCGCATCGTGCTTCGGTTCCCTGCGGGATGTATACACGTAGGCCTAGCGAGATTCGAGCAACGATGCTCGATTGTAAAAAACAATAGTGTTTTCTCCAACAAGGCTGACACACCAACAAGTCTAAACGTGGATGACAGTGCAAAGACATTTGCATAATTGCAGGCCAGCGGCCGGAAGTCGCTGCTGACAATCGCGGTCGCCGCAGCGGCCAGAGGCGCGGTAGAAAAAGTTCGGGGAGACCGCCATCGAGCCAGTGCTGAAGAGGCAAAGGCTGGTACTCGAAGGGGGAACCTTTGATCTGGATGCCTTCCGCGGCAAGCGGTAAAGCACCATAGAGCTCCAATCTGCCATTGCCATCGTCTGGCCCCAGAATGTCGGATCGCCGCAGTTGCCAGACCGAAGCCAGGCAGGTCAAACGGCACACGGCCGCGCCTTCGCCAGTTGCCTTGCGCCACTGGTCCTCTGTGACCGCTACGGAAGAAAGTTGGAAAATGGCTACGGCAGTGGTGATGACAGCGACATGCTTGCCAGGCCGTGGACAAAACCTTGCATGCCACGCTGTATGCGCAAAAGCAAGGACAAAGCCAGCCTGGAATACCCGCAGCAAGCAAATCGTCTGCCAGGCGCTGCCGCTGCCTCAGTGCAAAGCGAGCATTATCATAGACGAGCGCAACGTACCATCTGCAAAGCTTTTGCACACGCAAACGCGAAATGCTCTGCCACCTCTTTTTTTTGCTTGAATCTTTGATGGCACCAGGAAGCGCCTCCCTGCCGTGAGCCGCGAGCAACCTTACAATCTTCGCGGGGTCAAGGCCTCCTACGGCTGAAATGCGTATTGCTGCAGCAAGCTTATACTCGTAGCGGGGTCGATGCCTTCCCCGAAAAACAGCCGACTCAGCGTATCGCTTCTTGGCCGGCGTGTCAGCGATCAAGATAGAAGGCCCCACGCCTCACTCCGGCACTTTGACCACATTTTCAATCTCGCGTGCGATGCAGTTCTTGGCTTCTTCGTCCGTCATGGCATCTGGCAAAGCAAAGACTCGGTTAGCCATGAAGACCGGCCCGTCCTTGCGGAACTTCACGGCGCCGACTGCCAGTCGGGTCTGGTTCCGGACGTTGAAAGAGAACATGTCGGGCAAAGTCGCAAGGGCTTCCAAGCGAAACTCATCTCCGTCTTCGTCCAACAAAGACTTCACCTTTTCGTGCGACACAAGGATCGTTTGATTGTCCACCTGATTGGCTTTCACCCGGTCAGCTGCCTGAATCAGCATGCACACGTGGGACGGCATGCCTGTGGCCTGCACTTTTGGACCAGCAGGCGTTCCCACAAGCTCTCTGCCCCTGCTGCGCCTTCGGAGCGACGCACTTTGCATGCGGGGGGTGGGAGGGCGAGGGGTCCAACAACTCTCCTTCTCTCCTCCTCTCCCTCTCTCTTCCTCTCCCTCTCTCTCCCTCCCTGTCCCTCCCTCTCCCTCCCTCTCCCTTGCCTTGTCAATCGTGCACCTGTACGGCGCAAGTGGCCGGGCTTCCGTCCCAACGGGCGCAATCAGATTGGGAGTTGCTTGCAGCACTTCGAAGTCAACCGCGCGGAGGTCTCCGAAAGTGTTGTACTTGTTCGCCCCCAAAAGGACATCGCAGCGAGCTTGAAAGGTGAGGCTAGCCACGCCCATGTCGACCACACTCTGCTCCAAGGTCTGCAAGTCGATGGAGTTTGTCATAATGCGCAACTCTTCTTTGCGGACGGTAACCCGCAAGCTGCCGCTGAAGTCAGACAAAGTGACCGCAGTCAACACCATCTTCTTGGCTCCCTTGCTGCAGCTGCAGCCTTCTTGGGCACGTCGGCAGTGGCCGGACTCTGCGTCAATCTTCAGGCCCGACTTCTCGCAAACTGGAACACGGGATTTGAGTCGCGGATGTCCACCAGCCAAACGCCAGGGCACGGATCTCTTCCTGCAAGGCCTCCTTCGACTGGCTCGCGCCCAAATCAAAGAACTGCTGCATGTTGTCCGGCTGGGTGATCGGGCCTTCTGCACTCATGTTGCCTGTCCAAGGCACAGACAGGTCAAGGCCGCCGTCGACAGCCACTGACTCGAATCGCGCCAGCTACGGCCCAGCGGACAAAAGGGCGCTGCCTCGGTTGCTGTCTCCCATGTATTCTCCGGACAAAGACACGGAGCCTTCTCCAGAGATCACAGAGAAGTTCAATGCTCGAACAACCTAGCGCAGGGCTCTCGCACGCTCGCTCTAATGCTTGAGCTCCTTGACGCGCTCTAGGAGACGGGCCCCACAGTTCACAAAGAACTCGACGATCACTCTCATCTTTGATCCAAACTTCTGCTTTTGCCTGACCAGGCACAGTCATTACTTCAACGCATCATCTT